ATCCACTCCAGCCACCGAACCAACCACCAGCCCCAACCGACCACTCAACCACCCTATGTTTTGGAGCCCGCCCATCCAACCGCCCAACCAACCAACCGACCCTCCTAACCCCCTATCCACCCAACCACCCACCTAACCACACAACGAACCACCCACCCACCCACCCACCCAACCACCCAACAACCGAACCACCCACCCAACCACCCAACGAACCAACGAACCAACCAACCAACCCATCAGACCACCAAACCGCCCACCTAACCACCCAACCAACCAAGCAACCAGCCACACAACCACCCATCCATCCGCTCAACCACCCAATTAACCACCTAACCCAACCGCCCAACCACCCAACCACCCAACTAACCAACCAACGTACTACTGTTCGTAATTATTATTATTTTTTTTTGCAGCTGCGAGCCTCGACTCATTGTGTCCGTCGCTTATCGTACGCATTGTGTTGCCGTCATCTTTCGCAGTGCCGTCAGCCAGCCATTGAGATTGTTCATAATTGTCAGGTTCACTTATTTGACCTTGCGACACAACATGGCCGACGTAGTTATTGTTGTGAAAGAGGCTGTGGATGGAAAGGAAATCGTCGTGAGAGAGAGTGTGTGAGCGCAATACTGAAAACGAAAGAGACTTTGAATACTGGGAAGGGGTTGTCGCCACGAAAACACGTGTGTACTACGCGTTCATCGATGACACCCTCGCTTTGAGGGTCGTGGCGGGGTTGGGGTACGACGACCATAATTGCCTTGATGGGGTTGTAATGCACGCAAAAAAGCTTTCGGATGTCGTTCCCGACGCCTGCGAACCCCCCGACTTCGATATGATTGGTCATTTGGTAAGGTGCATCGTGTCAGTCGTTGCAGTCGAGCATGTGGAAAGGTTAGCACGCAACGCATGGTATTTCTCCAAACTCGACCGGCCGCTGCAAAGCCGTAGTTTTATCCATGAAGATGTGCGCAGTGTGTTGCCAAAGGACGGTTGCGGACAACAGTGCCAAAGTGCTAACGAACCATCATCCCGCTCGTCTCATGCGTAGTGTGAAACAGGTGGATTGACGAACAAAATCGTAAAGGTTTTCAACATTCGACAGTGTTCGACACCGCGACTGCCCGTTCATCCCATATATATGTATACAGGGCGTTCCCCCTCCCCGTACGGTACATGCAGAATATCATGTTTGCGTTATTCGTTACATGCAGAATATCATATTTGCGTTATTCGTTACTCGATCGTTGGGTTCATAACTTACGGTGTTGGTTTCTGTGAATTGCAACACTTTTTAAACGCCATACGAAAGAAGCGATGATGCATTGCGCGCCAATGATTTTCCGATGTTACCACACCACAAAACTGACAGGCGGCGACACCGTATACTATTACGAATCAATGACTCCCGTAACAGATCCTGCCGGCGATGCAGTGAGATACCGCAATGGAGACAAGAAGGTGGATCGTCATTTCGTTGTCAGCGTCGAGGAGGAACGAGTCGTCAGACTCAATACAGAGACTTATATTCGTGACTACGCCATTGAACACGTTCGTGTCCTAATGTCTAAGCCGACCACGTACTTCAGTACCTTTGTTCTCAAACCGGTCGACGGTGATTTGATGTATGATATCGTCTTCCCCCTTGTGTATCGCATACTATACACACACTACGGGACGGTCGCTTGGGACGGCGTCTGGCGGCTGGTCGTGTCACCGCCCTATTTTGTCTCCGATGGCGAGGATTTCTCTGCCAAATTTTATCCTTGCAGTGCGATCCAGCGGTGAGTACCATTCGTTTTTTCTTTCCTATGTTTCTTCGTTGTTGGAGAAAGACAAAATGATGGTTTCAAAGATTGTACATTTTGTGTATACATATGCAATCGTCATCTCCCATGTGTTTGTTATATGTTTTCTGTTCTTTTTATTCGCGTGCTTTGAGTTTTGAAATTTGTTTTCATTTTCGTTATGTGGAGGTACAGTACTAAGGTAATTGGTGCCCGTAATGTTCTGTTTTGTAGATTTATAAAAATTCACATATAAGCGACAAAACAATATTCACTCATTCCCATACATGGACCGCCGACGATGCAGGGTTGGCGTGCGGGCTGACGTAGTCGTGTTTGGAAATGGGACAGATACAGATTCTTTCCACGACGAGGAGCTGATAGTCGCCGAGATGAGGAGTCGGGGCCGGGACCCGCAGCGCTTTTGGAGGAGGCTGTGACTTTTGCTGGGCTGGAGGAGCATTTGCAACAGTGAATGAATCTGCTTATTGGTCGTGCAAATCTCGAACCAAAGCAGAATCGTTACAATGGATATGTCGTTTTTTCTCGGTTGTGGGGGTTCGTCGTTTTCCGACAGAGATTGCCAGATGAGTTCCAAATGGCAATGCGGGAACGATGGTCAGATACAATCATTCGAGGTTTTGAACTACGACAATGTCATCTTCCTGAAAACGCGCACGCACGTCGACGTGCACGGCGGTAAATGCTTCACGACACGATAGATAGATAGATAGATAGATAGATAGATAGATAGATAGATAGATAGATAGATAGATAGATAGATAGATAGATAGAGAGAGAGAGAGAGAGTATGCTTGCCTTCAGTGTGAGTACATATGTAAGTCTGACTGTGTGTTTGTCTTGAAACTGACATTTCGTTAAAACTGATATTTTTTTCTAAAATCACGAAAGTGGACTCAGTCAAAATTTCATTGTTCATCGGGTGAGAAAGTGGTTATCTCACATTGTCTATTTGATGTACCTCAACGTAAAGTACTGTTAACATACATCCTATGGTCAGATCATCAGGAGTCACCACGACACCCGATGATCTGATCATCCGATGTCATGGGGACAAAAAAACACTCAAAAATGTTGTTTTTTGTTACGCTCAATTTCGTGAATTTAGAAAAAGATGTCAGTTTTAACGAAATGTCAGTTTTGAGTGTGTGTGTGCGATCGTAAACTTAAGCGTGAGTGTTACTTTTTGTGTGCTCCGTAATGGCCGGAGCTTGTTCGACAGGCCATCAGGCCCGGTACTTACTTATTGTCGTGACTTGCAGGGATTGCATTATGTAAAATTTGGTTTCCCTGGTGTACATCTTCTTCTTCTTATAATCATCGATGTCTCATTTGAAGTTCCTTTATTTCTTTTTGCAATTGTATGTCATTGTACCATTAGCTATGGAGTCTGAGCGATTCTAATCCTCGCTCTCGCCACTCAAGTTCATTCATTTAGTGTTGCAACTGGATGTCATTGTATTATTGGATGAACGTGAAAATCTGAATTGGTTCGGCTATAGAATGTAAAACAACTATTACCTAAGAGCGTAAGCATGTGAAGTACGAATGTATGTGTAACTCGACATTGGTCCGATAATATTTATACGCACAGGAAAAAAAAAAAAAAAAAAAAAAAACAAGACATAAGAAAAAATAAAAAATAAAAAACCAACATTGGGTGGGGGGTGGGGG